GGCATAGCCCACCATCCCATGCGAGAGTCGAACCGGCAACCTTGTTATTAGGAGCACATGCTCTTACCAGCTGAACCATCCTGCCACCTATTGGCAGCTCAGCTTGGGTACAGCTCACTGGCCCATGTGGGAATCGAACCAATGGCCCTGTTTCTCAGAGCTTGCGCTCTTAACCAACTGAGCCACTCGGCATGTGCCTGAACAGAGATTTTGACCTTTAGAAACCTGTTGGACCCACACAGGTCTGGGGTATATTTTGATGATGCTGCTGATGGTGATGGTTATGATGGTGATAGTGATGATGAAGGTGATAGTGAAGGTGATTGTGGCGATGATGGTGGTGGTAGTGGTGATAATGATGACTATGACAACAACAGTGATATTAGCAGCCAGCATTTATTGAGTGTCCACTATGCACTGACAGCATACTAAACAAGATCCATGCATTATCTTGGCATCCTCTTCATCAGGACCCTACGAGGCAGATCCTAAAATGATCCTCATTTTCCAATTGAGAAAAGTGGGGATAGTAGGAGAGGGAGTTGGGATTCAAAGCCCAGAGCCCACTGAGCCCATGCTCTTGACCACCACGTTCACTGTCTGTTGGCAAGCACTGCGATTACAGGGCTGAGGGTGAGGCTCCCTGGCCATTGAGGGCCTGTCTGAATCTCCAGAACAGGGAAAAGTAGGCAGTGGGTTGGAGAGAACACCAGTCCTGTTCCTGCCTGACTGCACGGCCTTGAACAGCTCCTCTGCTCCCTAGCTCAGGTTCCTCGACTGTAAAATGCAGCAGGCTGAACCGAAGGAGTCCTCTGATGGTGGGTTGCATCACAGCCCCTGTCCTGTGTGTGTTCCCCTGCCTCCCCTTCCTCTAGGGCTGGAGCCCACCCAAACAGAGCAACTGAAGTGGTAGTTCTGGCTGAGACAACAGTCACTCAACACCCACAAAGCCAAGCTCAAAGCTCAGGCATCTAGCTAGCTATTTCCAGATATCTCATTTTTCCCGTCCAATAGCTGGGAGACCCTGGGAAGCCACAATAATACACACACACACACAAAAGATAGCGGCTGTTGTTCTATTTAGCACCAAGCACTTGCATAATCTATTATAACGCCAGGCCTTTGTAAAGCAGCTTAAGCACATTATCTCATTAATGCTCTTAATCATCCTCCGAAATCAGTTGTATGGTCTTCTCCTGATAGATAAGTTCATATAACTTACCCCAGCCCCCACATGTGGGGAGCACGGGCGCTGACCCCAGAACCCAGCTCTCTCGCTGAGGAAGGCCGTACTCAGCTGTTGCACTGGAACGGACTCCCTCTAAGCCTCACCTTCCCCACCTGTAATGGGAAGACTCGTCCCTGCAGAGCTTTCGGAAGGGCTCCAAGGGGCCATGAATGCACTATGCCTGCCTCAGTGCAGGATTCAGTCAATACTTTACAAAGGGTAATATTTTGCCACAAGTCTATAATTTTGGGAAATAAACGCATATTTTGGCTGACTATTTTTCAGCCATTTAGCTTCACGCACATATGTTCAATGTCTCAAAACAGCGCTTCTCACACTTTAATGTGCGCAAGGGTCACCTGGAGATCTTAATAAAATGCAGCCTCTGGGTTCATTAGACCGGAGATCAGGCCCAAGCGCGTGCATTTCTAACAAGCTCCCTGGGGACGCCCGTGCTGCTAGGCTGAGGACCACACTTTGAATAGCAAGGTCTCAGAGCAGCCTCCTGGCCCCATCTCAGGAAGAGCTTTCCAGTGGGGGTGGCTGTTCCCAGTGCCCTTTAAAGGCAGCCATGAGCCCAGCCATGTCCTTCACACACCCATGCTCGAGGTGGGGGAGGGGAGGAGAGGGGGACCAAGGAGCCTCCTGAAGCTGGTGGATTTGAGCAAAACGAGGCTGAAGAAAGTTGAACTGGGCTAATCAGCCAAGCACTGACCATGGAGGTTACTTCTCAAGGACATGTACGGCAGAAACCCCCACCTCCAGGCCTGATTACCACATCACCAAGTGCTAGGCTGTGCCTCCTAGAGTTCTGAGCTTGGCCTAAGGGTCTGGAGGATACCCCAACTCCCAGGGAGGATTCCACCTAGAGTCCCTGGTATTTGAAAGTTCCCACAGCTGGAGGCTGGCCCAGGTGGGGGCTAGGGAGGCCCTACCTCACCTGCTCCCTATTCTGCTGTCCTGCCCTTTATGGCCCATTCACCCAGGACACACACACACACACACACACACTCTCTCTCTCTCTCTCTCTCTCTCTCTCTCTCTCTCTCTCTCTCTCTCTCACTTCTATTTAGCACCAAGCACAGACCTGGAAGTCTTTTGATCGCCCATATTCAGCCCTGCCCCTGACCCAGTCGCCATCTCATCATTTTCATCATCATCATAGCGGCTCTAATTTTTGGAGCTGCCATGACACTCCAGGTGTCTTACATCTATGCATCTGTGACTTCTAATCACCCGTTAACTCCTTAGGGTGGGTATTATTATTCCCATTTTATAGATGAGGAAAACAAGGCTCAGAGCTGAGCTGGTCATCTCCTCAAGGCACATAGCCCGACTGGAAGGTGCGCCAGACCTGCCTGACTCCAGAGCCCGTGCTTGAGAGAGATGAATAAGTGGCCCAGCAGAGGATCCCAGGGCTGGCTCAGGCCCGGGATGTCTGGGCTCAGCTGCTGCCTGTTCCTCTTCCTGCTGTGCGGCCTCGGAGAGATTACCTCACTTTCCAAGTCAGCCTTCCGTGTCGGTAGAAATGGGGGTGAGAACCATCGTACCAGCCTCATGGTTGTGGTGAACATTACATGCGATCGTGAATGTAAAACGCTTAGCATGAGGCCTGGAATGGAAAATGTGCTCAAAAAACCTGAGTGAGAAGGAGAAATGCTGTTTCCACTCCCACATGGACTTCCCGAAAGGGCTCCCATGTTGCTCTGCTTTAGGACCAGCCCCACCTGCATTCTTCTCCCTCCAATAAGCCTCTGGCCCTTTACACGTGATGGGGCCGGAAGAGGGGCAGACAGTGTGCTGGGCCTCCTGGCTGCTGGAGACGGGACCTGAGGCTTAGGCGACTGAGAGGCACAAGCAGGCGGCCCCCAGAGTCCTGCAGAGTCCTGGCAGCAGCAGAGGAGGAGGGGACGTTCTCAGGCAGGTGGTGTGGCCGTGGGAGGGCTCCCGTGATCACCCCTGCCTGGCACGGTGCCCACACCGAGCCCACAGCCCAGAAACAAACGTAGCAGACGCCTCCCCAAGCCCCAGGGGTTCTTTCTCCAAGGCACTGTTGGCTAAGGCTGGGGTGCAGCATGGTCCATGGGTTCCAGGGGAGAAACTAGAGCCAGGGGCCAAGCACTGGCTGCTTTCTGGGCCACTGCCCCCCTGCTCCTTCTGCGTGGCCTGCTGCGCCCCACCTACCTACCACACAGTTGGCTCCTTGTCAGCCTGCTGCGAAGGAACCCCACCCCACCCCACCCAAAACTTTCTCACGCGGGGGTTCTCCAGCTGGCCTAACATTAGAATCACCTGCAGAGCCTTAGCGTAAGTACCGGCACCTGGGCCTACATCCAGACCAATCAAAGATGAATCTCTGGGGAGCTGTCACTTGCTAAGACAAGATCTGTTGGCCACACCCTGCTCTCCTTGTGGGGTATATTTAGGCCTCAGTGAGGCTGATAATATATACTAGCAGATAGAATGCCTACTGTGTGCTAGACATGTTATATGTTAAGCATTTCCTTATATGGAAGGTCTAGTTTAATTCTCATGATAACTCTGAGCTAGGCTTAGAGAGGTCAAATGGCTTATACAAGGTGAAAGGCAGCCGACTAGGAAGAGCGGAAGCTGGACAGTGAAGCCAGGTCTTCCTGCCCCAAAGCCCAAGCTCTGCCTACAGTTTGGCATAGAGAGAAGGGTGCGGATTCTGGGCAGCGGTGGAGCGGGAGCCCAGACTCCTGAATTCTCCACCTTCCTCCCTTTGGATTTCTCCAAGTCACACGGCTTGTTCCAGGGCCCCCGGCCTCATCCCAGAGGATGCCTAGAGCTTCCCGCCATCTCCTGGGTCCTGACAGCCATTGCAAGCCTCCCTAACCAGGCGCTTCTGCTGCTTCTGCTCCTCAGGGCAAAGACTGCACCGTGCCCATCAACACCTGCATCCAGAACCCCTGTCAGCACGGAGGCACCTGCCATCTGAGCGAGAGCCACAAGGACGGGTTCAGGTAACAGCTCACCCTCATGCCTTCCCTCCACAGAGCTTCACGGGCAGACTGAGAAAGCATAGCTGCTCCCTGAGGGCCTGCTGGGTGCCCAGCCAGGCCAAGTCCTTATGTGCGTGATTTCCAGACTCTTCCTATAAAGGGGCTATGACTATCCACATTGTACAGATGAGGAGACGGAGGCGTCAGAGGGATGAGCCCTTTGCCCACCACTGCGTGTTTCAAAAGCATGGGCAGAGTGATTTCAGTGCAGGTAGTCTGTCTTCAGAGCCAGGTGAAGTCCACGAGAGGCTGCAGTTGCAGGCTAAAGTCAGAGAAGGATGGGAAGATGCCTCAGAGACCCGCTAGCCTGGCGATGCCACCACTCTTTTCTGGGTTGTGGAAAACATGAATAGTAGGTGACATTGATTACGGTGTGTGCTTTTTATGTGAGCTAGTCGTGTATGATCTCATTTAAATCCTCCCAGTGACCCTACCTAGTACAGGTAGGTATTATCCCCATTTAACAGATGAAGAGACTGAGGCACAGAGGTTGATTTACTTTTGGGCAAATATCCTGAAACTCGTTCCTGCACTTTCTACCCTGCACTAAGAGCTCAGGAAGAAAAGGGTAGATGAGTGGAATATGAAGATGTGGTGTATATATACAACTTACGAGCAAAAAAAATGAAATCCTGCCACTTGTGACGACATGGATACACCTAGAGGGTGTCCTGCTAAGTGAAATAAGTCACATACTGTATGATTTCACTTATATGTGGAATTTTTAAAAATCAAAATGAACAAACAAAACAAACACAGACTCATAGAAACAAAGAACAAACTGATAGCTGCCAGAGGGGAGTGGGACGGAGGGAAAGGTGAAGGGGAATATAGTCAACGATATTGTGATAACTTTGCACGGTGACAGATGGGTACTGTTGGGTTGTCGGAAAAGTCATGACACATTTTTGCAACAAAAAAACAAAAAATACGTCATGACTTTTCCAACAACCCGATACACTTAGTGTGGTGATCACATCGTAAGATATATAAATGCCAAATCTCTGTGTTGTACACATGAAACATATGTTGTATGCAAACTATACTTTAAAAACAAAATAGTAAGAAAAGAGAATAGAAGCCGTTTACGTCTTTCTCATCCCTGTCCTAGGCGTGAGCCTCCTAGACCCCCCTCAAACCTCGGGCCCCTTTCCTGCTTCTCACCCCCGCCCCCAGCTGCTCTCAGATGCCCAGTTTCCCCAGTCCAGGGCCTTGGCATAAGCAGACCGGTGGAAACGGGTTTGTTTGCCCACCCAGTGAGCCAGTGGGTTAGGCCGTAAAGGAGTGGGTGTCTGATGTCAAGCTGTACGCAGCCATCTTAGAGCTCAGGTTGCAAACAATTAATTTTCAAAGGCACTGTGGCCGGGGGCTGCTGTGTGGTCTGTGAAAGAAATCAGGCTCCGGGCTCTGTTCTCCTCCCCAGGGCACTCAGCCCGCCCACATGTCCACCTGCCAAGCCAGCCCCAACAAACTGACTCTTGAAAAATGAAATTCAAGGCAGAATTTGTTTTCCTGCCTGGGGTGGGTCCTACCACCCCCACCCTGTCGCTGACAGTGAGGGGCAACCACAGGGCCCCAGCCAGGAAACACACCTCCAGGGAGAAACCTGGCTCTGCCCACCCAGCAGAGGGACGGGGGTCTGCCAGAGGGAGGCGTGTGCCCCACAGGCCGTGGTGTCTCTCCCCTCTCAGCTGTATCCTGTTTCCACTCTCGGTCGTTGTGAAAATTCAAACGAACTGGAAATATTTTTAGAATTTAATTTTCGGAAAAGGGCCCAGATCTACAGGATGAGGGAGCGCACGTGGAGGGTGAAGGCCATGAGGCCCCATAGTGAGGGTGGCACGGCTTGTGGGGGTTCCCCAAGGGGCAGGAGAGTTCTCCCGCATCGGGTCAGCACCTGATAGGTTGGCAGAGGGAGGGACACCTGTCAGGGAAGCTTTGCTCCTTCTCCTGCGGCATCAAATTCCTAGGGCTGCCGCAAGAAAGTACCGCAGACGGATGGCTTAGAGCAATAGAAATGTGTTCTGTCACAGTTCTAGAAGCCAGAAGTCCAAAGTCAAGGTGTCAGCAGGGCCGTGCTCCATGAAACCTCTAAGGGAGGATCCTCCCTTGTCTTTCCTCAGCCGCTCACAGTGGCTGGCAGCCTCTGACATGCCTTGGCTTGCAGCTGCATCCATCCAAGCTCTGCCTTTATCCTCACGTGGCATTCTCCCTGTGTCTCTGTCTTCACATGGCCGTCTTCTTATAGACACAGCAGCCATACTGGATTAA